AGAGATAATTTCCTCATCTCTTCAAACTTCTTCTGTCTGGTAAACGATACAGGACAATAATAACACACCACCAGGCTGTTAAACAGCTTTTATACAAGAGCCATCACTGAAGTGAATGTAGCTGCTACGAGGTCACACTAACAGTGATTCTGCTGGACAGTTACTGTAATGCACTACAGCACCTACTGTATATTCAGATACCTCAACATGTGGCTGTTTACATTTATATTATGTTTACTTTATTGTTCACTTTATAATTTAGACTTGTTTAATTACAATGTTTAAGGTGTAACGATCAGTTGCTACTTTCTGTTCCTTTTGCTCGCACACAGTTAGGAAAGAAAGCCTTCGCCTGCTCTGCTCCTTCTGCTTGGAACCAGCTGCAGAAAACCTGGAAAATGACTGAGCAGGTTTCACTAAATGCCTTCAAAACCAAACTGAAAGCTTCAGAGACCGCATTAGTAACTTGTAACTGCTTTTAATGATTGAGTGTTTTATCATTGCCATTATGTTGTAACTGTTTGTATTTTTGCTGCCTCTTGGCCAGGACACCCTTGTAAAAGAGGTTCTTAACCTCAATGGGTCTCTATCCTGGTTAAATAAAGGTTAAATAAAAAAATAAAAAAAACTATTCTCGTTAAACTGGCTGTGTGTGCGAAACATGTGTGTGTGCGTATGTGTGTGATGAGATGAGAGAGAGAGAGAGAGAGAGAGAGAGAGAGAGAGAGAGAGAGAGAGAGAGAGAGAGAGAGAGAGAGAGAGAGAGAGAGAGAGAGAGAGAGAGAGAGAGAGAGAGAGAGAGAGAGAGAGAGAGAGAGAGAGAGAGAGAGAGAGAGAGAGAGAGAGAGAGAGAGAGAGAGAGAGAGAGAGAGAGAGAGAGAGGAGAGAGAGAGAGAGAGAGAGAGAGAGAGAGAGAGAGAGAGAGAGAGAGAGAGAGAGAGAGAGAGAGAGAGAGAGAGAGAGAGAGAGAGAGACGAGGAGAGAGAGAGAGAGAGAGAGAGAGAGCGTGTGTGTGTGACTTCAATTTTAGCCTTGTTATATTATTTTACTTATATTTTACTAACTTTATATGAGCTGTCTTTAGTCAGCGCAAAGTCAACTTTGTTGTACACCTGTGCAATGACAATAAATTATCTTGAATCTTAAAAAACTAATCAGCTGTGTTCATGACATGCAGGAAACGTGCTGGAGGCAGATTGCAGCATCAAGGATGTCAACTCCACTTTTTTCTAAGTCAGTTACCAAACCCTAACAGACAGGACTGGCCACAGAGGGGAGTGGGGGGTCTGAGTAATATTTCATAAAGGTCATTTTAGAATCTGAATCAGAAGGGTTTTATTGTCATATGTGCAAGAATCACAACATTAGGAAATTGCTGCAGTACCTGGTGCAAGAAAAGATAAATGAAAAGCACAAATTAGATTTTTAGAACATACTGGCACAAGGAAAGAATTTAAATATATAAAGAAGTTGCACGTTATCCCATTAAAGAGTAAAGTCCAGATTAGCTGATCTTTGGGCTGTTGGCACATATCCTCACAGCAAAAATACGTTTTCTCAGAATCTCACAGGAAGCTTCTCTGGATGACATCACTGCTTTTTTTTAACTGGTGAAAGATCAGATAACGTGACAAACACCTATATTCACCTTTTCAAGGAAACAACAAAGAAACACTATCAGAAAAATCTAAAAGAAGACTTTGTCTAAATTTCCAAGCAATTTATCTACTTGTTATTATTTTACATTTTCAGAAAGCAACAAGCTGGGACTTCCTGTCACCCTAACCTCCACCTGCTGCTGTTTGCAAACACTTTTAAAAAATTTGTTTGAATTATTAAAATAAACTGTCACGTTCTGCCCCTGCCTTCCTGACTGTGTCTCTCTCCTGCCCTGATTAGCCCTTATTGTTCTCACCTGCCCCTCGTTAACCTGCCATGTGGTTTCTGATTTCCCTGTGTATTTATACCTCCCTCCTTGTGGCTGTCTTTGTCAGATCATTGTTGCTTGTAGTCATTGTTTTGTTCCTGTCGGTCCACCATTAAAACCATTTTACTTTTTCCGAAGCCTGCATTTTTACCTCCTGGTCAGCTCTGCCACACATGGTCCGCCGTCATCCACACCTGCAACATGACAGAATGAACTGACCAACATGGACCTGTGGTGAGCTTAACATCTGTTTCTGGAGGATTTTTTTTTTCTTTTTTTTTTCCCTTTCAGCTGAGGGAGATTCTGACTCGAGGGTTTTTCGGCGCATCCTGCCTGTTTCCGGGGTGGTCGGACCCATTGAGGGGGGTTTGGCGCTTCCTGTTTGTTCCCGGGGGTTGTCAAACCCATTCTCCTCTCCTGCTGTTCTGCCCCGTCCTGTTTTTTCATGGAAGCTGCTTTTCCTGGAGTTTTTTGATGGAGATAAAACCCCCTACGCATGCCAACGTTCTCCGGGGGTGGTAGGGCTGGTCTTCCTGCTCCGTGTCGGCTTCCCTTCACCCGAGCCTCCGCCTGTTGGATCCAGTCGAGTCATGGTGTGCACCTGCTCAGGACTGTTTGCCGAGTACCTGCTACCGCTCCTGGTTTCCTCGCGTCGCTCCTGCCGTTTCGTCCCACTTCCTGGTCCACGCCTGCAGGGTCTATGCCTGCAGGTCCTTCATGCTGCAGTCTCTGCTGGGTCCCACGCCTGCTGCTGAAGTTCCTGCTGGGTCCCACGCCTGCTGCTGCAGTTCCTACTGGGTCCCAGCCCGGCCCCGGCTGCTGCAGTTTTCCTGTTCCTGTTAAGTCAAAGAGTTCCTGTTGTCAAGTGTCCCCGAGTCAAGTGTTCCCCTGTTCCGAGTCAAGTGTTCCCGGGTCTCCTGTGTTATGTGGCCTTGTGGGCGTCTGGTATCCGCCCCTTGGGGGGGGTACTGTCACGTTCTGCCCCTGCCTTCCTGACTGTGTTTCTCTCCTGCCCTGATTAGCCCTTAATGTTCTCACCTGCCCCTCGTTAACCTGCCCATGTGTTCCTGATTTCCCTGTGTATTTATACCTCCCTCCTTGTACCAGTCTTCGTCAGATCATTGTATGTGCATGTGCTTGTTTTGTCCTGTCGCTCCCGTTCCACCATTAAAACCATTTTTATTTTTTCATCCGTGCCTGCTCTCCTGCCTCCTGAACTCTCCACCACACATGGTCCATCATCTCCACTCCTCCCAACATGACTGTGTGTGTGTGTGTGTGTGTGTGTGTGTGTGTGTGTGTGTGTGTAGGTGTGTGTGTGTGTGTGTGTGTGTGTGTGTGTGTGTGTGTGTGTGTGTGTGAGAGAGAGATAGAGAGGAGAGAGAGAGGGAGTAAAAAAAATAATAATAACCCGACCGGAGTGGAGGTAGTGAGTGACTGACGCAGCATGTCAGCTCTGTCTTGTCAAATGCACCATGTACAGTAAGTTACGAAAAAAGTAACTTTAAATATTCAACTGAAAAAAGAAAAAGAGGCAAGCTGAAGAAAACCTAGGGAGTACTGAAGAAACGTGAGCAACAGTGAAGCAAGCACAGCAAGATCCGTTACTGTCTGTGTGTGTGCGTGGATGAGCCGGACGGACTGCGCTCTCGGCCGGCTAGAGAGTTTTGTGTGTAGGGAGGGGCGGGCGCTCTATGTGACTGGCTAATCACAGAGCGTGAAGACAGTCAGTTACCCAATGAGGATTTTCCTTCAGCACGATTACAGATATTTACGAGGTTTACTCGTGTCATGCTCGTATTCGTCAAAAATGCTTTATCCGTACCGGATACTTGTCTGAAACGAGTATCCGGCTCATCCCTAGTATTGACCCTTTAACCCAAAGTCACCTAATCATGTGAGTCCACCATTCTGGATGGCAAAAGCATGTAAACAGTGAGCGACAGGCATACTAAACAAAGGGAAAAGTAGAGCCTGAAATTGTTTTTGCGATCAAAGCAAAAAAATAACTCCTCCAGCATTCCTTCAACTAGTTCATGCCCAGTTCAGTTATCAGAAGAAGTAGTGCATCTAGCGGGAGCTCATAGAGAACGGTATGTCAACTAGCTTACCAATGTTAGCTTACGTTCTAGCTGCAGCTGTTCACCGATGCAAACATGTTGCTGACTTTGCCTAAATTCTAAATTCTGGATTTATAACATTATGTTATAAACAGCGTTTCACTTTACACCAAAGCTGATTTTTAAAAAGTCAGGATCCCTACCAGCTTCTGTTGCTGGTGGTGTTACCAGGTTCAGCTGCTGCTCTCACTCCGGAATGAGAAGATCTCTGAACGCTGACGCCCATATAAATAAATAATGTAATTTTAACACACGTAATCATACATCGGAGCTTTAATATTAATAATAATAATAATTATTATCTCGCTTTACACTACAGTGCACATCCTCCGTGGTGAAATACCCATCCATCAGGATTATCAATAACTAGTATAAACAAACACATCACATTCATCCCTGTCCCTGTCTTCCTCGTGAAATAAATGAACGTTATTCTTATCGGGTAAAAACATGTTCGCTGCCAATCTGAGGGCTGCTAGTCCACTTGATTGATCGCTGCAGTTCATTTCCGCCCTCAGTCTCCATCAAAGTTATTAAAAAAAACTAAACAAGTTGAGTTTACATCCTTGTCTGTTAGTACAGCCAACCACGCAGCAAGCTAAACCCATTTTACTGTCAAACCAACTAAATAAAAGCGACAACAGGCTACAAACTGGCTTGTTTTGACTAGCTTCACTTGAGTTTCAACGGGTGTAAACGGTCTTTTTGCCATCCATCATGGTGACGGCGGTGGTCTCATGAGTGGCGTGACGTCACGTGCAAAGGGTCTATTGCTTCTAACATTGAATAGTGCAACTACTGCTGAGTGGTCCTGAGTTATGTTCTCTGATTAAAGTAAATGTTGCATTCTTTTTGGAAATCAAGGTCCCAGAGTCTGAAGGAGGAGAGGAGCACAGAATCCATGTTGCTTGAGGTTCAGTGTAAAGTTTCCACAGTCAGTGATAGTTTGTGTGCCATGTCATCTGCTGGTGTTGGTCCATTGTGTTGGTCCATGGTGGTCAATGCAGCTGTCAACCAGCACTTCATGCTTCCTGCCACTGACCACTTTTATGGAGATGCAGATATTGTTTTCCAACAGGACCTGGCCTGCACACAAAGCCAAAGCTACTAGTATCTGGTTTAAGGGCCATGCTATCCCTGTTCTTGATTGGCCATCAGACTCACCTGACCTTAGCCCCATAGAAAATCTATAGGCTATTGTGAAGAAGAAGAATCAATACGCCACACAAAACAAATCAGATTTTTATTTGGTTTCATTTCAGTTTTTAATTTAGAGTATTACTTGAACAAAAGCATGAAAATTGAATCATAAAACAAATTGTTTTATTTTTTTAACTCATTCACTGCCAGCCATTTCCTGATCGCTAACGGCCTTCGCTGCAAGCGTTTCTCAGCGTTTTTACTGTTTTTTTTAAGAGTCGCAGAACTTTGCGCTAGGATGATGTTGACGCCAAAAAACCCAAAACAAAGAGGAGACTCACCTCTTACATCAGGAAGAATCCACGTGTTTCGAGCTTTATCCGTTCTTTCATAATCCGTTGTCGAATTGTGATCGGCAGACGATTTTCCGGTTCGCGCCTCACCTTTTTTACAGGAACGGCCCAAAACAATCTCCTAACACATGGATGTTCTGCTTCCTGATCACGTGACGTGTGACGTATGCGGATGAAGATCGGCTTCAGGGCTGAGATGCTTGTTCTCTCAGCGCGGGGGCTCGTTCCAATGCTCAAATAGTAAAAAAAAAATGCAAATGACAACTTTAGTCGTCACTGGCAGTGAACGGTTGGATCTAAAATGATGACTTTAGTTGTCAATGGCAGTGAATGAGTTAAGCAAAGCAACATCAGGTACAAAAACAGAAAAGTACTTCAACAGTCCAGCATGCTCCTGCTCTGGTAAACAACCTCTTGTAACAAGTGCAGTGAGTTTATAAATAAGGCTTATAAATAGAAAATGTCAAGGTGTTTCACTTCAATTGACATAAAACAAACAAAACAATTATATTATCTTATAATAATGAAAATGATCAAATATTGTGAATTACAGCCTAGCAAAATCATGTAAAGGTCGAATATGGTATAGTTTTCATCCATCCATCCATTTTCTGAACCCGCTTGTCAATGTAGGGTCGGGGGGGCTGGTGTCTATCTCCAGCGGTCAATGGGCAATCAGGCGGGGTACAACCTGGACAGAGAGCCAGTCCATCGCAGGGCAATATGGTACAATTTAATTTAAGAAAAAAACTTTATATTAAAAAGCTTACAATAATAATAATGTACCATTTGAGAGTGCACTGAAGTGTCTGTATATAAATCTCTGTAAAATTGTTGTTCTTCACTTTGTCAAAGTCAAAATTTTTACAGCCAATGTCCTTGAGTAAGGCTATGAATTTCTTAAAATTTGAAACTGCTGCTGCTGCATTATTCCAAAGATGCATTCATCCTGAAATCAAACTTTTTCAGGCAAAGAAAAATAAATCCACTTGTTTACAATGTTCCATTACCATTTACACCTAATCAGTGACACATATACTAATAATTACACCTATCAACACATTCCACAAGATTTTACTTTAAAATGAGACCAAAAGCAATCAAATAGACCTTGTGGTTACAGAAATGTACTCATTGAAGTGTGGGCATGTCATTTTTGAGCAGATTAATCAAAAAGGCCTAGAGTTCAACAGATTAAGCTATAACTTCTAGTGGCATTTGGTATTTTTAACTTGTGAGAACCAGGAAAACCTTTGCATCAACAGTTTGATATACGACAACATAAGTTTATATTTACAGATAGGAAATGCAATCCAAACAATCCTGCCAGACCATATAAACATTCAGTTGTACTTTCTGAGTCCTGCTGGGGACAATTCGAAGCAGAAAGGGAGACGTCCTCAGTCAACCTGTGTCAGATACACTGAGGAATATAACAGTGTAGAGTCCTTCTTAAATTTATAGAAGTGTCCAAACCCAAACACAGGGTACAGCGGTTCGGTGAATGTGGCCTGAAAAGTGTGGAGGTGGATCTTCTGTATTGAGGAAACCAGTTTGGGCAGACAGTAGAAGGACAGCGTTCCTGCAGACCAGTCCAGATACACAGCTATTCTGTTAGAGTCAGTGTTTTGTGGCATTTCTACGTCCAGTGCTGTGTTTTTGTGCCAAGCAGTGAACCCCTGCTGGGTGCAGAAGAGACTCCAGGAGTGATCATTCTTCCCAATGCAGATGTTATCACCCTTCCCCTTCCTCTTGATTGTTTTGTACGTCACTCCTATTCTAACACTTCCTTTCCATTTGACCTCCCAGTAGCAGCGACCAGTGAAACCATCACCGCAAAGCAGCTGTTTCCACTTTACAAACCTCTCTGGCTGATCAGGGTATGACTGCTTCTCTTTCATTACGATAGCATATTTCAGGTTTTGGGATACTTGGAGGTTTTCGTTTGCTGTACGTAGATCCAAAGTGAGTTCACAAAAGACTGAAGGCAGAAAAAAAACATAGGTGATTTTTGAATACAACTGGTACGTTGTATAAACAAGCTATTACTAAATATGTTAACTGAAGCTTATTGAAGCTGGATGGAAACAGCAGCCAAATTCATAGAAAAAACAAAACAATCTTTTCTACTGCAGACAAGATGAACAAGGGACCAAATTGTTTTTCAGCCCATAAACGAGCAAGTTTTAGAGCTACAGTCATATTCAAGTTATGCTAAAACATTTTAGACATTTTATGAGAACGTTCCAGAGAATTTTGTAGGTTGTTCAAGTTTTTAGTTGAAGTTATGGTTCTTATAATGTTTTATTTAACTATGAATCAGGAACTTTTAACTTACATCTTTGTGGTGTTGGACTCAATCTGGACTTTCCACAATGATCAGTTCTGTGTAGAAAGGAGTGTCAGAAATGCAAATAAACAGCAAAAAAAAAAAAAAAAAGCACAAATGAACAGTTTTGCAATGCTAATTAGATTGTACTTAAGCGTTTCCAGTTTCCATTCTGGGTTCTGCAGCCCCACAAAAAGATGGTTCAGTCCTGATTCTCCTGGATGGTTGAAGCTCAGGTCCAGCTCTCTCAGATGGGACGGGTTGAAGCTCAGAGCTGTTGCCAGAGAATCACAGCCTTCCTGTGTGACCAAACAGCCTGACAAGCTGCAAACGTAAAAAAGAAATATATATATATATATATATATATATATATATATATAAAGCTGCCTTCTGGAGTTTTCCCCTTTCAGAAATGATTTATGATTTTTCAGAAATCCGTAAAAGTGATGATCTTATCATGTACTGTGATAAAATGTAAGCAATATACGTCTTTTTTTTTGCTAAGCACGCCCCCTGCCCCGCAGAGCCCAGTGCAATAAGAAACTGAGCGCCGACCAGAACTAACCAATAGTGTTAGACTACCGCTTAGATGCTTCAAATTTAAGGAATACCTCGGCTGATGCAGCGTTGATGACAAGAAAGTCTCTAAAATATAAATACATGAAAACACAACATGACATGAGAATAATACTCGTAAAACAGCGTGTTTTAGCTCTTTTTGTCGGCTACAGAAGCACATTTATAAACAGAAACGTGAAGTCGCCATCTTAAAAAAACAGAGCTACAGATTTTTTTGTGTGATATGCTTGTCAGCCACTAGATGCTGTCACCAGATAAGAGAAATACTCCGGAAAGAAGCTTTAAGTGGGAAAAAAAATAGTTCGGTCACTCTGCCTGTTATACAAATAGCGAGATACATGGGTGATATTTTTATGGATAATTTTATCGATCTATAAATCAATAGCTTTACTGAACAGAAATTCCAAAGAACAAAAACAAACTAACAAATAAAAGGCACATGAGTTTAATGCAGCCACTTTTATTAAAGGTGTATTATGCAATATTTTTATATTTTTAAGTAATTTTCTTGAGCCAGTATGTGCTAAAACTAACCTTTCCATAGTTAATGAAAAGGTTGTTTTTACCATTGCCAACATGTTCTGAAGAACCAGCAGTGGATGCCAAAACATGTAGGAAAAGGAAAAAAACAGGCTCTTTCTGTTCTGTGTATAATGAATAATCACAAAATATGAAATCACAATGTATTTGCGTCTTCTTCGACAGTGTAAGACAGACTGCCTCATTGACTCACATCCATAGCGAGTACATCATGTGGTTCATTGTCTAATAGGATGCCGAAATAGTTTGATGGACAACTGTAAATTATATAGGATGGCTTGCCAGGCTGGGATCTGGATTTGAGAGACTACCTGGGTAGCCACAGCTGAAATCCCACCGCCACGCCTACAAGATCCCAAGTTTTTATTTTTTTGGTGCTGTTTCCCAAAGAAGCAGCGGGAACTATATGTTGTCGCTTGTGATCACAGTCGGCAGGCAGCAAGGAGGAGCAGGCAGGGCAAGGTGAAGTTACAGCATAAGTTACTGAGTTTAAAATTAGAAAGGTAGCAGTGGATACAATGCTTTGTGGTTTACATGTTTCAATAGCGTTAAGATAAACGAGTGTTGACGATCTTGACAGGGTTTCCTCCAGTGCTTATTAGGCCAGGTTTTCCTCTCCCCACCAGGCTAAGCATCACTTATTCATGTAAAATGTATTTATTTTTTCATGTCTGACTTTAACCGCATCTAACACTGTATTACGGCGTGAGCACAACAGCGACAAATTAAGATCGATGTGTAAGCAGCCTGAGAGGTCGGGTGTTTTCATCTGAACCCTTAAAACCTCCAGCAGACTACGCTGAACAATTGACGTGTTAGCGCGCGGCGCTAACAACTTAGCGACGTGACATGTCTCAGAGAAAGCGTAAAAACACGCTGGACGCTTCTGAAGCGGGAAAATAACACTTCTTCTTAAGCAGAGCACGACATCGCCTCGGCTCGTTCACCCTCTGCCAAGCCGGACTGAGCTCTATAACATTGACCCAGCACAGCCACTGGGTCGTTGGAGCTGCCCCGTGACTGCCTGATGGAAAACCAGCGGGTTTCATCAGACTCGTAGTTTCTTGTTTTTGCTGGGGACCCCCTGTATTTTACCGCTCCCTCCTGCAGTCTTCCCCTATTAAAATTTAAAATGATTCTGTAAATTCCGTGTATGAATAGAAAAAATCTCTGCCTCTGCCAGCTGCAGTAAATGTAGTCTCCAAATAATAAATAAGAGGTGCATTCATCTGTGGATCTCCTTTGATCCGCATTAGTGATATTCTCAGCACCAGAACAGTGAAGCAAAGAAACAGATTCCCCTGTTAGTAATTTTATTCATTAGGTGCATCGAACCTGTTCTTTTTTTCTCTGAAATGTGATCTAACCAGTGCTTCTATGGGTTGTCTCCACTCTGCACTAGAAATTTTTACTTTATTTAGAGAGGTGTCATAATTCCAGAAGCTAGTCACTATTGGACAAGTGTAAAAAAGATGTTCAGTACTCTCCTCATCTTGTAAACAAAATCCACATGGATCCACCTCAAAACCAAATCTTTTTTGAAGTGTTGCTGCTGCTCGGTAATAACCATTAATGATTTTAAACTGCATTTCTTTAAGCATCACTTAATTATCCTAATGTCACAATCTTTTATTTTTATATTATTGTTGAAGTCATTAAATAGATTTGTTTTAAATGACCTATTTAAAATTTTACTATTACATTTATTTTCTATAAGGGCAATCTGATTTATATATAAATTAGGTAGATTAATATGCCCTTTTGAATAGCATAAATAGTGTTGTATAAGTTTTAATAGTGGAGAAGTGATCGCTTTACACACCTTGTTAAATTCTCTAAATGAGCTTTGAATATCAAATTTATCCTTAAAGTCATTTATATTTAGAAACTGACCCTGCTCATCCAGTTTTTCTGTAATAAAAATTACATTTTTTTCATCCTACTTTTCAATGAATAATGACTTCCTATTAGTTGTAACTGTTCTGTTGTTACAAAGGTGGAGCCATGGGGTGTAAAGTTATGAGTGAATAGCATCTTCCAATAATTTAATGCTTGTTTGTGATATTCTGACAGTTTCATCAGCAATTTCAGCACATCAAAGTCACATTTAAGAAGAAATTCCAAACCTCCCACTTTTTAAACGATATTTTTAGGAATATGAAACCACTGTGAATCAGGGCTCAACAAATAAATTAAACTTTCTGATTCTATATATGACCGGTAATCTATCATGTCTAATATCAATCTTATGTTGCTGTGTATATATCTACCTTTATTGAAAGCCGACTGACACTCATCAATTATTTTTGTTAAAAATTTTTTTATCCTATTTGCATATGTTAGGGCTATTAACTTATAGTCATTACATAGAAGTGTTAAAGGTCTCCAATTGTCTAACAAATCTAAATCTTTGTTTGATTCGGCAGCAAAGTTATCAAACCTGTTTTCATTGTTGGAGATTGTTGTCCACTATTTATACAATCTAGAAAGGCCTGAAATAACAATTTTTTAATCTCTTGCCAAATGTCTGATATAATTCTGTTGTTAGCCCATCCATTCCTGGTGACTTCCCCTTTTTTATTTATTTTACTGAGATTTCTACTTCTTCAATGGTCAAATCTTCTTCTAGTAGCAATTGATCATCTTCTTTTAACATTTTTATGTGACCTTTTATTTAGTCAAACAGGATATCCATGTCCTCCTTCTGGGTTTTTTTTCTCTACATAAATTACCATAAAATTTACTGATTTCTTCCATTATTTGGCCGGAGTCCTTAATGATAGTGCCATTTTTATTAAGTTTAGTTATTTTTCTCTTAGTTTGTCTTTGTTTCTCAAGGCTATAGAAATACGAGGATTTTTTCTCTCCTTTCTCAATCCATTTAGCTTTAGATCTCACATAAGCTCCTTTCACTTTCTCCAAGTAAATTTCATCTAGTTCCTTTTGTAGTGAGTCTAACCTTTTGGTCTCTTCTTCGGTTATATCAGGCTTACCACAAAGCACATTTATTTGCTCTATTAACTCTGTCTGTTTACATCTGCGCAGGGTTGACATTTTCTTTCCTGTTTCTACAGCTAAGTGTTAAACTCTGTACTTGAACCATTCCCACTTACTTATATTTGACATTATCATATTACTGATTTCTACACTTTTAAGTTCTACTTCCTTACAAAAAACTTTGTTTTGTAATAAGTTGCTATTAAACTTCCACAAGTTTTCCGTTCTTTGCTGTTTAACTATTACTAATGATATATTTATCAAACAATGATCAGTCAGTGGGGAATTTTGAGTTTCACCTTGCTTACAAAGGCAATTATTGTCTGAGCGACAGGCCAATTATCTAGTCTCAAACAGAAGTTTTTGTTTCCTGGGCTAAACCAAGAATATTTCATAATGTTCTGATTTGACATCCTCCAATAATCTAACAAATTATTTGACACACAAAAGTCACTAATAATGCTTTCGTGCTCTGGTTGCTGCCCTCTCTGTGTCTATCAAGCCATGAATTAGGTTCCTAGTTAAAATCATCTCCTGCTATTATGTGGTCCTGTATTTAATTCTCCATTCTCCAATTAACTGACTTAAGTTTGTCATCATGTTTCTGTTTTGAGTCTTATTGTTATATACATTGACAAGAATGAGTTTCTTTTCAAATAATTATATTATCAGTATGAGCCAATGACCTGCTTCTTCGCTTTTATGGATAACCTTTCCGGGGAATCTATTAAATAAAAAAACATAACTCCTGCTGAATGAGAGGACCCATGTGAGTAGAAAATTACATCTCCCATTGTTGCTTCCAGAATTTTTCATCCTCTTTGCTAGAATGCGTATCTTGCATGAACATAACATTTGCCTTATTTTCCTTGGAAAAAAAAATAAAAAAAATGGCCTTCCGTTTAACAATGTTTTTCAAACCCCGAACATTTAAAGAACTGATCAGAACCGACTTATAGAAAAAAAAAATAGATTTACCGTTTCGTAAAGCACTAAAACGAAAACAATATTCCAAGCAGGAATGAGCATCATGTCCTATATACCTTAACCTCCCAGTACTCCAAACATGTTGTTTAAGTGAAACCCAACTTTTTTTTTCAATCCAGACTAAACTTCCTATAACCTATATAGCTCCGGACCCCATGTGACTCTCAGTTAGTAGATGCCATATTGGCAGTCAAAAAAGGTAAACAAACACGGATCGTAAACATGAACATGAACGGGATTGGCTTGGATTTTACTTCGTCGGAGTTTACTTCACACTTTTAAACCGAAGAAATAGTTTTATACAATCAGAAATTAAATAGACTAAACATCACCGACACTTACTGTGCCCCTGGGATACTTTTTAAAAATGCCAGAAGCTGTCGGAGCGGACTTCTTACCGGACCTGGCCGGGGAACCCCTTTGGGATTTCCCCGGAGGAGCTGGCCCAAGTGGCTGGGGAGAGGGAAGTCTGGGCCTCTCGACGCTGCTGCCCCCGTAACCCGACTCCGGATAAGCAGATGAAAATGCATGGATGGATGGACAAATAACAGATTTACACGTAAGTAGTTTAAATAGAGTGCTGTGCTGTTTGAATGTATAAACTGAACGCCAAGAGAAATCACTAGTTTGATTTATTTCCGTGAATAAAATAAATATGTCAGGCAGGAGCGTCTCAGGATCTGTCTGAGATCTGTCTCGGTGAGACAGATAATAGCAATCCAAAGTGCTTTTTATGCGTGATCTGACAATTGATCAACCATTGCTTAAAAATTAAATACAGCTTAGCCGGTTAATTGCTGTGATCATAAAACACGGAAACGGCAGCACGCATAACTCACGAGGCAACGTTTTACGTGATGTTTACTTGTTGCTATGAGTAATAAGACAGAAAAAGCCACGCCAAAATAAGTTTAGGAAGCCCACTAAGAATCGTAATAAAAGCATTTAAAATAAATACCATACACAGTTGAGGAAACGTTGGTTTAAGTACCTGATATGAAGTGGTCGCTGCATAAGCAAAAACCTTTACTCTCGGGGTCCCACAGTTTCATTTCAGCCCGGTCACTAGCGCGTTTTATTACAATGGTCCAACGTTTGCGGCGCTCCGGATCTTGGGGAATCCTGTAGATGGCTCATTCCTTATGTTGTCCGCGTCTGTTCTGCATCCTGGGGCACAACTGGAATCTACCGTATTTCCCGTTTGATTGAGTTTTCTGACAATAACAAATAGTCCAGCTGCGGGCTTCTACCTGCCAATATGGCGCCGTTTCGATTTGAACTGTTGCATGCCGGGAGAAGTGACGTCAACTCCTGGAGCTCTATACCGACCTAAGACATGGTTTACTCCTTTTCTGTATACTCCTTGTTATTATAACCTATGGGTCAATCCTTTTCCCATCTATTACATAATTTTCCTTCAGAAATGCTCTTCTGCTTTTGTTCCGAGCCTCCAGTCCTTTCGGCTACAGCTTCATTCGGGCTTCACGGTCTTTGGAAAAGTCCTCTTTGAATTTTATGTGCATCTCCTTGCAGACTCTGGCCTCCTTGGACATCCTCCACACCTCATCTCTTGCCGTCCTCATGCTGAACTGGATGATGATTGGTCTTGGCATCTTGTTAGTCACAGCATTGTCTTTTTTTCCCAACCGATGTACTGTGTCAACCATGATTTGAAGTTTATCCACTGACACAGGAATGACTTTTGTTAGAATTCCAATCACTGTTTCATGTGTATTTTCATTTTCTTTTTCAGCCAGTCCCAGTGATCTCAGGTCCCATTTCCTCCGATATTGAGTGCTCTCCAGACTTTTTTCTTTCAAATCTTTATTTTCCTTTATCAGAGACTCCATCTGTGTTTTCAGTTTGTCAATTTCTTCCTTGTTTTCTTTTGTTTCCTTCATGTTTGCTTCAACTCGACTTTCAAAAGCCTTCAGGTTTTTGTCAAGAGTGTCAAATCTGTCCTCCATTTTTTGCGTAAAGGCTAGCAGTGTCTCATATATATTTTCATTGTTTACTTGTTTTCCTTCGGTCTTCTTTCATTGTCTCTTTGGATTTGGGCTTGGTAGTGGAGTGTGGTCACCCAGAGTTTTTGCCATCTTTTCTTGGATTTCCATCTCTTCCATAACTTCCTCTTCACACGCTTCTCTGATTGCCTCCAGGTCATAATCGTGATCAGAAAGTCAAGGTAGCAAGCTTTAGCCATTGCAGGTTGGACATATTGCTTTGTCAATATAGATGTTATCTTGAAGGTATCTTCTGTAGGTTTCCCTTACTTTGTATTTACTTCAGGAGTAGTTGTTTTTTACAAAATAATCCTTCAGGACATCGCACTTGTATTTTTAAGTCAGACCTGCAAACTTTTCCACCTGCTCACTTCGCCATCTTGAATCCCCCTGGGGAAGTTGACTTTCCAAGAAGTGCTCAGTGGTGCGGCGCTTCCTGTGTGACCACTTGACTTCTCAAAATGGCAGGCGAAACACGCCTGCCCCCGGTGTGCCCCAAGCTTTATTGACTTTGCTGACTGGGTGTAAAAAATGCCCAAATTCCATGCGATCGATACAAAAACAAACTATTTTTTTGTGTCCCAAAAGTAGTGTGCCACAAAGGACCTACTGAAATGTACTGAATGAAGACAGAATAGTGGATCATAATCTCCGGCTGCATGATGAGCAGAAATGGGGCAGAAAATGCAGTTTCATCACAGGTAAGAGTTGAAGGTTTTTTATGCCGTTTTATTGAGCAGCTTTGAAACACAGCTACAAAAACAGCAGGTAAACAGTTTGATACGGTTTTCACATGTCCTCACCACAAATAGCTTGTATAGTGTTCAAGTTTTTAGCAGTTAGCTTAGTGTTGTAACATGGAAATGCAGAGGATGAGGATTAAACAGTTGGAGGATTTTTTAAAAATTATTATTATTATTTCAAACCAAACAAGACACAAACGGTTAAACTTAGGAGGGGGAAGGTATCTGTTGCCTTTTGTTGTGAATCAACCTAATTATCACCAAGTGTTTACAATGCACTACTGGCATGTTTGCTACGTTCACTACCATACTGGGATTTAGCCTGAAACAACGGTGTTTGTTCTATATGCATACACACGTACAATGTTAACTGTACATTTTCAGTATATGAACCTTGTGTTTGATAGGTTCAAATAGACAGAAAATCTTGTTATTCTACTGGTAGTTTATTTAGCTCAAATTGAAATTTTGGCTGCTTTTTGCAGATGATGTGGTCCTGTTGGGTTCATCAGAACGTGATCTCCAGCTCTCATTGGAGCGGTTTGCAGCTGAGTGTGAAGCAGCTGGGATGAGAATCAACTCCTCTAAATCCGAGGTCAGGGATGAGGTCCTGCCCCAAGTGGAGGAGTTCCAAGTATCTCGGGGTCTTGCTCACGAGTGAGGGAAAGCTGGAGTGCAAGATCAACAGGCGGACTGGTGCTGCGTCTGCAGAGATGCGAGCATTGTATCGATCTGTCGTGGGGAAGAGAGAGCTGAGCCACAAAGCAAAGCTCTTGATTTAAACGTCAGTAGTGATCGAAAGAATGAGATCGCGGATACAAGCGGCCGAAATTAGTTTTCTCCGCGTGGTGGCTGGGCTCTCCCTTAGAGATAGGGTGAGAAGCTCGGTCATCCAGGAGGGGCTCAGAGTAGATTTGCTGCTCCTCCACATCGAGAGTAGTCAGTTGAGGTGGCTTAGGCATCTAGTTAGGATGCCTCCTGGACGTCTCCCTGGTGAGGTTTACCGGTCACGTCCAACCGGGAGAAGGCCTAAAGGAAGACCCAGGACACGCTGGAGAGACTATGTCTCGCGGCTGGTCAGGGAACACCTTAGGGTTCCCTTGGAGGAGCTGGTCCAAGTGGCTGGGGAGAGGGAAGTCTGGGCCTCCCTGCTTAGGCTACTGCCCCCACAGCCTGACCCCGGATAAGCAGCTGAAGAAGGAAGGAAGGAAGGAAGGAAGGAAGGAAGGAAGGAAGGAAGGAAGGAAGGAAGGAAGGAAGGAAGGAAGGAAGGAAGGAAGGAAGGAAGGAAGGAAGGAAGGAAGGAAGGAAGGAAGGAAGGAAGGAAGGAAGGAAGGAAGGAAGGAAGGAAGGAAGGAAGGAAGGAAGGAAGGAAGGAAGGAAGGAAGGAAGGAAGGAAGGAAGGAAGGAAGGAAGGAAGGAAGGAAGGAAGGAAGGAAGGAAGGAAGGAAGGAAGGAAGGAAGGAAGGAAGGAAGGAAGGAAGGAAGGAAGGAAGGAAGGAAGGAAGGAAGGAAGGAAGGAAGGAAGGAAGGAAGGAAGGAAGGAAGGAAGGAAGGAAGGAAGGAAGGAAGGAAGGAAGGAAGGAAGGAAGGAAGGAAGGAAGGAAGGAAGGAAGGAAGGAAGGAAGGAAGGAAGGAAGGAAGGAAGGGAGGGAGGGAGGGAGGGAGGGAGGGAGGGAGGGAGGGAGGGAGGGAGGGAGGGAGGGAGGGAGGGAGGGAGGGAGGGAGGGAGGGAGGGAGGGTGGGTGGATGAAATTGTGGCCTGCCTCTAATTTTGCCCTCCTTCCAATAAAGGCCTGAACCAGGATGCAGTTAAGTAAATAAAGGCCTGGGCCTGTATTAGATTATTTACGGTACACTTTCATTACTTGAACAAAAAAATGTGTAAAGGCATGTGTAGTGTTCGATTTATACATTCTTTTACCAAATAATTAAAAACTACTACTTCTCTTATTATTATCCTTTAACCAAAAATAGAAGTCTTAAAATGTATTTTATTTTTTTTATTTTATTATTTTTTTTACTTCTCAAATAAAATTTCAAATGCCAATAAGTACATGGACCTCTTTTTAAGGCTGAGGCAGGCTTGATTCAGTCAACAAATTGTGAAATCAACATTTATTATGAGCCACTTTTTTATTATTTTATTTTGGGGTTTTACTGAGTCTAAAATTGGAAGCTTTCAGAGCAAGCCCTTTTCGTTTGTGCATCAGATTTAAAACAAAACAAAAAAATGAGTCAGCCATTGTATTATTTTTGATTTTTGACTTGAAAATTAAAATAACAAACTATCGATTTTCATTTGTTTATTGTTTAAACCAAAAGGAGACTACAACAATGGGTTCCGCATGTTGATAAAATTCCTACTGACCTGAGGATTTCCAGTCTGCACTTTGGATTTCCAAGTCCCCGAGAAAGCAGCTTTACACCAGCATCACGCAGGTCATTGTTGCTCAGGTCCAACTCTCTGAGATGAGAGTTCTCACAGGTTAAAATGTCCACCACAGATATACAGCTTCTCCACGAGAGGTTACAGCCACTAAGCCTGGAAAATAACATTTCAAAGGTAAAATGTAAATGCTTCATTTTAAATAAACATTACTATTCAAAGCACAGTTTGTAACAATGACATCCTGTGGTCAAATGTGGTTACTCTAATCCATTTTTAAGCAAAAATATAACTTTCTCACATCTGTTCAAAATTTCATGGCTGTTACCACTTACACATCTATATCAGAAGATGTTAGAAGACAAGCAAATATGAGTCGCTGATAAGTTGATAATTGTTGTATCGGTAGTTAGCAATTTTTGGATGTTTTACGGTAGCGAGTACTTGTTACGTATACTACCTCAGTTAGTCGCATGTGTTAGAGGAAGTGCAGTTGTTTGTCGTCTTGTTGTTAGCTTGCTGTTATTGTTCTGAATGACTCATTAAAGGAAGTAAAACTACACATTTGACTCATTATTCACTTCACACGTACATTTCACTGTAATATAGAGTTGTTGGTAACTGAAAAAGTAACCTGAGAAGTTTTTAATCTTGTTTTAATTATAATGAACTGTTAGCATTGTTAGTTCAATGTTAGCCTGCTTCACTCAATATTAGAGAAAAACAAAAAGATGCCATGGCTTCTTAGGGGTACCAGAAATATCTTTTGGGTCACTCCTGTTACTGGCTTTAGTTTTTTAAGCAATTCTAGAGATTTGCCCAAGTTACAAATGCATACACTGCTGCATGCACAAACCTCACAAATGCACAATGTAAACAATCATCTTTCATTTTTATTTAAAGAAAACCTGACAACTCCCCTGCTAGCTGAGAATGAAACCTAACTCAGTATAACATTCTCATGGTTTTGTGATTATTTCACAATGTAATTCTTACATATTGCACATTTCAATGAAAATTTATACATACAGAGATTTTGTTGATGCTTTAACCACGGGCTGCAGCCATGTCAGTGCCTCCTTTAAAGCACAGAATTTCTTCAGGTCAAAAGTCTCTAATTCCTTCTGAGATGACAGCAAAATAAAGGCAAGAGCTCTCCACTGAGAGGCAGTGAGCTTCTTTGCAAAGTCGCTTTCGCTGAGCGACTGCTGGATCTCCTCCTCTAGAGAACGATCATTCAGTTCATTCAGCCAGTGGAACATCCGGATGCTTCTCTCAGTCGAAGAACAGTTATTGACCTTTTTCTTTACATACTGCACAAGAGTCTCTGTAGCCTGTGGTTTACGTCTCGTCTTCGACACCAAACCCTTTAAGAGCCTTTGATTTGTTTTCAGCGAAAGGCCCAACAGGAAGCGAACAAACATGTCCAGGTGTCCATTTGGACTCTCTAAAGCTTTGTCCACTGCACTCAGGTAGAACTGCTTAGTTTTAGCTTCGCTCAGAACCGACACACTCCTTCCTTTCAGGACATTGACTCCTGTGTTATTGAACTTCAAAAACACATAAAGGGCAGCCAGAAACTCTTGAATGCTCAGATGAACAAAGGAAAAGACCCTCTCCTGGTTCAGTCCACACTCTTCCTTGAAGATCTCTGTGAACATTCCAGAGTACATTGAGGCTGTATTTATATTTATGTTAAACTCTTTTAGATCCTCTTCATAGAACATCAGGTTTCCTTTTTCTAGCTGCTTGAATGCTAGTTTTCCCAGAGAATGAAACATCTTCTTGGTCTCTTCATTCCATATTGGACCTGCTGGAAGGTGTGTGAGATACTTCTCCTTGTCTCTTTTTGCCTGAACCAACAGGAAATGGATGTACAGCTCAGTAAGGGTCTTCGGCAACTCTTTGTTCTCGCTGTTCTTCAGGACATGGTCCAGGACTGTAGCTGTGATGCAGCAGAACACAGGGATGTGGCACATGATGTGGAGGCTTCGTGATGTCCCGATATGGGAGACTATTCTGTTGGCATGTTCTTCATCAGTAAACCTTTTCTTGAAGTATTCTTCCTTCTGTGGATCTTTAAACCCTCTGACCTCTGTCACCATGTCAACAAACTCGGGAGGGATCTGATTGGCTGCTGCTGGTCTTGTGGTAATCCAGAGGTGAGCAGATGGAAGTAACTTTCTTCTAATGAGATTTATGATCAACACATCCACTGGAGCAGACTCTGTAACATCTGTCAAGATCTGAGTCTCATTGAAGTCCAGAGGGGGGCGACACTCATCCAGACCATCAAAGATGAACACAACCTGGAACTCCTCAAACCTGCAGATTCCAGCTTCTTTGATATCAGTGAAGACGTAATGGATGAGTTCCACTAAGCTGTAGGTTTTACCTTTTAGCAAATTGAGCTCACGGAAAGTAAACAGGAAGATAAACTGTATGTTGTGATTGGCTTTCTCTTCAACCCAGTCCAAGGTGTACTTATGTGTCAGAACTGTTTTCCCAATTCCTGCAACTCCTTTGGTCATTAGTGTCCAGCCTGGCTCCCCTTCTCTACGTTTAAAGATATCGTCACAGCTGACTGTGCTTTTTGAACTTTCTGGTATCCAAGATGCTGCTCCTATCTGTTGAAGCTCATGTTGCCCATTGGCCTCTCGTCTCCCATGCTCTGTGACGTAGAGCTCAGTGTAGATCTGATCCACAAATGGTGCCTTTGTGGTAGTCTCACACACACTTTTACACTTTGTCATCAGATGAGATTTTAATTTCTGTTGGTAAGTCAGTGTGTGAGTTTCTGAAAGAAGAAAAAAAGATGTTGGCTTTACATTGGATAAAAAGTAAATTTGATAATTGAGCATCTTTTTGTTAAATATAGACTAGGGGTGGGAACTGAATGTGTTACTCTTAATTAATAATTAGGAAAAATTGAGTATTAAAAAAATTCACACATTTAATCTTTAATCACAGCTTGCAGTTCAAGCAAGACAGAACCTTTGTCAGTGCACCATTTCTTGGTACACTGATTACACTGACACATACGCAAAAGCCCTGTTCTGCTAATGGCTACTAAATAGATGAATTTGAAAAAAGTGACTTAGACCGATGCAGTAATTGAGCAAACATGTCTGCCTCTTCACTGATCTCTGCTGCTGCTGCTGTACTTTTTTAAATTGATCTGCACACCTGGGATCTTTCAGGACGCTTTACAAACGGGTAAGCTAAATTCTTATAGTAAATGGCTAGAGGCAAACTTCCTTTGAATGACATGTGTAAAACCTCAGCTGAAAAAGGATTTTGGATTTTTCTGGGCTGGATGTTTAAGAAAATTCAGTGTAAAAGCTGCTCTCAAAACAGAAGATATCTTTTCGCCCAAACCACCTTGTCAAGCCTGGAATGCTCCAAGAAACAGCTAGTGTAAACAGTAATGGACCTCTGGTGTTTCGGCAGAGGAGAACATCTCATCGGTCAGATACAGCTTCTGTAACCTCTGCTAGTCGGTCAGATTTTTTTCTTTTTTTTCTCTCTGGGATATGACGTCAAGAACCCACCTGCTAACCAGAGGTGCAGGCACATTTGAGACTGTTTGACTCAGAAGACTCGCAAGCCAATTGGTACAACAGGAAGGATTCTGTTGGTCTTCAGAATCAAATTTGGTACAGTTTGTTTACTTCCTTGATTGATTTCCTTGCTCGTAGTGCTTCCACCGAGAGCTCTCAGTTGATGAGTTCTCAGCTGACTTTTAGCTCCATCATACTATCAAGTTTATTTCAATTATGTTAAGATAAATAAATAATGTGCTGCCAGCTTTACATCTGTGTGTATATATTGATATAACTCTATTTAACCAATAGCTTACCAGAACAACTCTTCCTGACTGACTGGAATGCTGTAGTAGCTCAATAGCTCAGCTTGTTGTTTTTAGTAATCCAGGATGTAGACCAGTACGTAGATCAAATTTTAGATTTTATCGATGTCTGCGTGTGCCACAGCTATCCCAAATGACTAGTTTTTTTTCCTTAATGGAGCTAACACGATTAGCCATGTTGCTGCAGTCATGCCAACAGGACATGTCAGGAATCCATAAGGAGTGGTGTGGTTCCAGATGGATTTATAGATGTAGGCTAGCATTTTAGATCAAACTAGTGTTAGTTAAAAATGTGTGTAGGACTCGGACATATGGCTCAGACTTTAGCACAAAATCAGCTACGTGAACGACATAAAGCTGTACGTCAAGAGCGAGCAAGGCATCAACTCACAGATCCACACCACGTAACAGCACTGCTATTGGAACGTCAATCAGACTTAGGAAGTGTGGTCAGATGGTGACAAAGAAAGGGAAGGTAGTCCACACAGAAGGGGTCTCACTCCCAGAAGGAACAATAGCAGACATTGAGGACAGCTACAAGTACCTTGGTATTCCACAAGCAAATGGCAACCTTAATAAAGCCACACGGAAAGGAGCCACAGCCAAATACCTACAACGAGTAAGGCAAGTCCTAAGAAGTCAGCTCAATGGCAAGAACAAGATCCATACAATAAACAGCTATGCCCTGCCAGTTAATGGCAATTGGCCTGTATTTGATATAGCGCCTTCTAGAGTCCTGGAACCCCCGCAAGGCGCTTTACAACACAATCAGTCATTCATCTATTCACACACACACATTCACACGCTGGTGGGGATGAGCTACGATGTAGCCACAGCTACCTTGGGGCACACTGACAAAGGTGAGGCTGCCGTATACAGGCGCCACTGGTCCCTCCGACCACCACCAGCAGGCAAGGGGGTTAAGTGTCTTGCCCAAGGACAGAACGACAGCGACAGACTGAGTGGGGCTTGAACCTGCAACCTTCCGATTACGGGGGGAGCACTTAACTCCTGTGCCACCGTCACCCCAGCAATCCTGAAGGAATAATATGCTGGCTAAAAGAAGAAACACAGATCACAGATGTTGAGACAAGGAAGCTCTTAACCATGCACGGAGGGTTCCATCCCATATCCAGAACCCTGAGACTGTACACTAGTTGTAACGAAGGAGAAGGAGGACTAGTCAGTGTGAGAGCCACTGCCCAGAATGAAACATCCAAGATCCATATATATGGATCTTGGATCTGTGTATAAATATATGTGCAAAGAGGCCCCTGAGACAATCCACCACATAACTGCAGGGTGTAAGATGCTGGCAGGGAAAGACGACATGGAACGTTACAACCAAGTGGCTGGCATTGTGTACAGGAACATCTGTGCAGAAAATGGGCTGGAAGCCCCAAGGTCAAAGTGTGAAACACCCCTAAGGTGGTTGAGAATGAGAGAGCCAAGCTCCTGTGGGACTTCCACATCCAAACTGACAAAATGGTGATGGTGAACCAACAACAGAGGACAGCCATTTGGGTTGATGTGGCATTACCAATTGATGGTAACATTAGGAAAAAGGAACACAGGAAACTAGAGGAGTACCAGGGCCTCAAAGAAGAACTTGAGAAGCCTGGAGAGTGAAGACATTGGTGGTGCTCATGGTCATCAGGGCACTTAGGGCAGTAACCTCAAACTGGAGGAGTGGCTAAAGCAGATCCCAGGAACAACATCAGACATCTCAGTCCAGAAAAGTGCAGTTCTAGGAACAGCTAAGATACTGCACAGCACCCTCATGCTCCCAGACCTCTGGTAGAGGACCCGAGCTTGGAAGGATGAGAGAGCACCCGCGGAGGGTGAGATGGGAAAAATCTTTTTCAGTTTTGAATTAAAATAATATTTTAAAAAACTTTGTCATTTTTATTTATTTTTTTTATTAAAAGTGCTTGAGTTTACATTTCAATTACAAATAAATGGCTTATGGCTATTTTATTGAGCAATTAAAACATGAAGATTAATTCATTACAATGCCACTATTTAATATGATAATTTTTTAAATCAAGTCCCACCCCTAATATAGTCATTTTTCCAGCAGAGACCTTTAAGTAGATATTTTATTAGTGGTTTAATTATGCATACTGAATTGTAGAAAATAAAAATCTCTTACTATTTTGTAGAACCTCAGACAACCATTCTGGCTTTCTTTTACTCAGTAATGTCATAGTGAATTTCCGAAATGCCTCCCTCTTGGTGTTCGATTTCTCTTTTTTGCCATTCAGTTCCTCGTGATCCTCTTGGGGCCTTCCAGAGCCATCTGGACTCAGCATTGTTTTCAGTCTCTCAAATTCCTTTTCTGCCAAGCAGTTAACTTCCTCTTTCAACTCCTGGAAGCACATGAAAATGGATGAAACATATTTGTTTTTGTTTAGTGGTTGTTTGTTTGTTTTAAATCAATGTATTAGTTTCATGCAATATTTTTATGATAATGAATGGATAATTTTTATAGTCTAGATTGGCTTTGTCTGCTTTCGTGGATCAAAGAAAAATGGTAAAGTTAAGGAAAAGTTTATTTAAGAAACAGAAAGTCATGCTTTCCTAAATTTGGATATCCATCCATCCATTTTCATCCACTTATTCATTTGGATATAGCCCCAAAAAATAAACCTGCTCTTGTTAACTTAAAATCATTTTCTTTAAAAAATACTTAGTATTAGGCATGTAATGGTACATATTTACTATTTCATACTGACAGGAGGACTGCTGCAGGTAACCCACTGACTCAATCACTAAATAAACCATCACACCATCTGTTGCTCAACACTATAGCCAAAATATCTCGTTCACTGGTGCTACCATGTTATTTTTGGATTAAGTCTGCATAGTAGAGATAGGGGATGATACGTCTCACACACACAAACATGAACACATAAACATGGTGTTTCTAGCATCACATAACTAATCAGGGCTAAATGTGTTTTTGAAAGAGAAATTCTTTTTTCTTGCAGCAGCAAGGTAAGAACTATAACTGCAATGGCAAATCTGCTAAACAAATCAGCTTAAAAGGTGTTTTACATTTCTTAACATTCTAACAGAGCATAGGGAGCCTAAGTCACGCCCATCTTCTTCCAGTCCCAGAAAGACCGAAAACAATCAATGTTTACGTTTATGTATTTAGCAGACACTTTTGTCCAAAGCGACTTACAAGTGATAATCGCCATGTTGCCCTTGAGGCTAACAACAACAATAACAACAACAAAAACTAATTTCCAGTCAGTCGTAGGTGGCAGTGAGGCAGCACGATGAATCATGGAGAGGAGGGAGTTGACGGTAGAGAGGGGGGACGGGTGCAGGGAAGGTGCTAGTTTAGAAGATGCTCTCTGAAGAGCAGGGTCTTCAGGAGTTTCTTGAAAATTGAAAAGGAAGCTCCTGTTCTGTAGTGCTTGGAAGGTCATTCCACATTTGTGGAACAATGCATGAGAAGAGTCTGGATTGTCCTGAGCGTGGTGTAGGCACTGCTAGCCGACGATTCTGTGATGACCGGAGCGGCCGGGCCGAGACGTAAGCCTTTGCAAGAGGATTCAGGTAGATGGGAGCCGTACCATCTCAGACTTTGTAGTGTTAGCAATTTGAATTTGATGCGTGCTGCTAGCAATAGCCAGTGGAGCTCAATGAACAGAGGGGTGACATGTGCTCTTTTTGGCTGATTGAAGACTAGGCGCGCTGCTGCGTTCTGGACCATTTGAAGAGGTCTCACAGTACAGCCTGGAAGACTAGTTAGAAGGACATTGCAGTAATTGAGGCGGGAGATGACAGTAGATTGCACCAGGAGCTGGGAGGCATGTTGTGTTAGGTATGGTGTGATATTTCGTATGTTATACAGCGCAAAGCGGCATGAACAAGCAACAGAGGCACCATGATCTTTAAAGGTCAGGTGTTCATCAATCACAACACCCAGATTTTGAACAGCCTTTGAAGGAGCCAGAGATAGGAAGTCATTTTGGATTGAGATATTGTGCTGTATGGATGGTTTTGCTGGGATGACAGGTACTGTAGTTCAGTTTTAAAAAGGTTGAGTTGTAGAAGGTGGGATTTCATCCATTTTGATATGTCAGAGAAGCAGTTTGATATTCGTGCAGAGACAGTGTGGTCATCCGGTGGAAATGACAGATAGACCTGGGTGTCGTCTGCATAGCAGTGGTAGGAGAAGCCATGTGATCAAATGATCTCACCCAGTGAGGTGGTGTATATTGCAAAGAGAAGAGGTCCTAGTACAGAGCCCTGGGGGGCTCCTGTAGAGGTCAGTAGGGCTAAAAACACTACTTTGTAATTCCGCTTGTTAAATGCCATGGATGTCTCATATGATATCCGAGAAAGTGCTTATTTTCAAACAGGGGGAAATGTTATTTGTGTGAAAATAAGTCCAGGACTAGAAATGCGCTTCACGAAGGTGACGTCATCGAACCAGACACGGAGAAAAACAGAGGGAAAATGGCTGTAAGTTCAACAAATTTCAAATCCGTTCAGGAGGAATAAACCACCATAAATCTGGCCATGTGGTAAGTAGCAGCTATTCTAGGGCAGAGGAGGTTCTGTGGTGAAACGACAACAACTAATATTGGATTGCATGCGTGGCAATGTCTGATTTGTAGTCATGCTAATTACCAACTTTTACAAGCTGAAAAATGTGAAAGTATGTGACTGGCGTGGTCGAAACACATGTAACGTGAGGAAATATGGGTTTTTCTGCCACAAAGGTGGTGTTGGACTAAGCTGTGTCAAAGCTGGGTCGCTGAGAACTTTCACCCACAGATTAAGACCTGAACGCCAGCGAGTCTGGGAGGAAACCATAACATCTGCCACCTGCAGCTTCGTGCCAGAAGATGTTGTTCCCACAGAAGATGTTGTTCCCATAAAAGTAGTCATAACATAACAAGTCTTAAAACTTTGTTTCTTGATTTTAATGTTAAAGTAACCATTATCAATTTGCTCATTATAAATGTGTTTTAATCAAATGAACGATTCTTATGCTTTGGGTAATTATAATGGATTAATGAAGCCATTCTTAAATAATGTTGAGGATGTTTGTTGCTGACCTTCACACATACTCAAGCACACAAACATTCACACACACCCACACACATCTGCTCACAGTAAACTCCAAAACACATTTGCTGACGCACACGTTTGCTTTGAGAGGAGAAAGGTTTTTGGTAAGTTTCAGTCTTATGATTTCAGTTCGTGCTTGACAACGAAAGAGAGAGGACGTGTGAACAACCGCTAACGGGGGCACGGAGCCCATTGGCTCAATCCCCCCCGCTCTCTCACGCTGTTTCTGCCAAGCCAGGCAGAATAGCTGAATCGCGACTTCTAACGCAGACTCATTACCGAGTCTTTTGATTTCTGAGTGAATTAACTTAAGAAAGCGCATCGACAAAACGCTCCACCATCCACGTGTACCGAGGGCAACTCTGGACAGGTTCCGTTCAACACCTACGTCTCCTGTCAGCCGCCGGTGTTATCTGGATGAACCACAACATCCTCCACGGCCCGGATCCGAAAGAGGGTCCACAAGAGTTCGGTGAGACAGAGCACGGTTTTTAGCGTTTGATGCAGTTCTCTGATAAGACCTAAGTTTATCCAAACCATCACTTCACTCAGACACCTGTTTCTTCCTGAAGCAAAATCAGACTCACACACGCATTCATGTCACGACATTCTCAATCTTCATAAATTCACCAGAAGGTCTATTTGAGCAAGAACAGCATATCAACTGTTAAAGATTGTCCCACAAAGTTGCCAATGTTGATTGTTATTTCCTGTTTGTCAATTTTCAAAATCATTAGTTTAATTTGAAGAATTAAAACTTTTAATTGTCAAACTGGTTTCCTCATTGAACTGAAACACAGACACACAGATATTATTGTCAGTTTATCGATGAAAACAACCTTTGAGTCTTCTTAACAATATAAAATTTGGTTATTGATTTATTAAAAATTAATATTCCGAATTAATACGTAGCATGGTTCCTCTTTCATAAAAGAGCATAAAACCACAACGCTACATTAATGGTGAGCCAAGCCAGTTTCTTCTACATTAATGGCGAGCGTATCCAGACTTCTATATCTGCGATATATCTGATTCCATCATCATCTACAAGCTGATTTTTCGCAATTTTAGCCTTTTCTCTGTGTTTCACTTTGATGTCTTATTTTGAAAAAAAAAAACGGAAATTATTCCGCTGAAGTCACTCTTCCGGGAGACGTCCTGGTGGAAACTTGACGGGGGAAGATCTCCGATCTCAAATTGTCCGCAAATTACAGACAGTACTTTGATTTATCCCATCTTCGCCTTCGGAGCGAACGTGTGAGTTGTGCTTTTGACTAAATTCTGCCCATTTTGACGCGCCGCCACGCCTCTAATCTATTCAGGTCGGAAAGCTACATTTCCACTCTGAAACTTGCTAGGTGAGCTACCGTGAGCACCTTAACTTCAATCCTAAAATTAAGACTAAATTCTCCGAATTCTCGGACACCCTCTCGTCTCAGTGTGTTGACACTGTGGGCGAGCTATTGTGGAAGATATTTCCATTACATAGGCGACAGCCGAATCTAAACGGAATGCTCGTAGGCACCTACCGTAGCTTAAATTGCTCGGTAAACGCTGTAAGTCGGGTCATGGCCGTAGCGCGTTACTGCATCCAGATTGCGTACGCTTTAAAGTCCGTTAGCAGAGCGGAGCGAGATGCCTGCTTGTTAATCGGGAAAATTTAAGTCTGGTCGCTACAGACGGAAAGCTAGACCTAGCCGGAGAGCTAAGCTAGCGAGCCACAGTTGGACAAAACAGGAACGCGTCCTATTAAGTTGTCAAACCATTTCTGACACAGTAAGTCTGTGTCCTCACAAAACCCGCATTGGCGGTGATTCTTGTAAACACTACGGTGTGTAGAATCTACATTTTGCTACGTTTGTCCGTCTGATACCAACACGGCAGCGTAGGGTTTATTATTTTTTTTATTTTTGTTTTGGACCGCTGTACGGGGCGGCTTTCGCAGCCTCCATCGCTCGGATCCATGACTTTTTCTTCCATCTTGTGAAGTAGTGTGCATTCATTTCTCTATCAACAATTCCTTGTTTTACCCTGTGTCATAAAGTTAAGTTACGCTACGGACAGTCCTTGTTTGTGAGATAAATTGAGGAATTTGCCCGGAGTTTTACGTCGACTCAGAAGGTAAAAACGCGAGTTGCTCTGAACTTAAAGAGGGATGGACGAGACACGACAAAATCTTTCTTGTACTGTTACACCTGGTGTAAGGTTCTCTGTCGTTCTGCTTCCAGAACATGCCAAGACGCAGGAGTCTGTTTACCGGCCGAGCCACGCTGGTCCCTCCGCCCGCCCGAACGGGCCCGCATTAGGCGGGTGCCGCCGGTCGGGCACGGTGGGGACTAGTGGCAGCGGTTCGGTGCCAGCTGCTCGGGGTCGGAGGTGGTTCTGGTCTGCACTTCATGACGTGAATTCAAACAACATGCTGTTTACAGTCATAACACTTTTTCTTTACTTTTATTTCTTCCAGGGGGTCAAAAACCCACCATCAATATCAAGGTTTGAAATAAACAACACTTTCTCTGCTACTTTTAAGCTGAATAAATCTCTTGAGCCTATGGTTAACCTCTCTGACAAACAGGTGGTGCTTAACCCTGTGGTTCCTGATGCTTTTTCTCTGTCATCCATGTTAAAGGCTGACCATCTCTCCAGCATGGGTGTGAAATCTTCAGGCTGTGATCCACCGCTTCAGTCAGAGGTCTGCTTTACTCGTCAGTCCGCCTCATGCACAAACCGGCTTGTTTATCGGGGCGTGATGGAAACGTCAGCCGCCGTGAAACACTTGTGGTCTCCGGACGGAGCAACCTTCCCATTTGCAGGGTTTGTGCCCGGACATCTTGACCTTTATGTGAATGACCTTGTCACTTTTCAGTTTGTGACCTCTGCTAATACGGTGGCCAATTCTTTTCTCCTTTCACAGGGGTGTGACTCTGTCTCTGGCCTCTGTGTTCTATTTCCTGTGATTTCTCTTTCAGGTGACCACGACGGCACAGGAAAACCTGCGGTTTCCAGCAGTCCTGTGGTCAGTGGCGATATTGAAGGAGGCTCGGTGGTTGCTGCGATCACCTCTCTCACGGGCACGGGATGGCCACCCAGCCCGCGAGCAGTAGGTGCGTGCAGTGATGCTCTGCTCGGGGCCCCGCCTGACAAAAGGGGGGTGCCGGGTGGCACTGAGTTTTCCGTTGCGGACTTCAGGCTGTTCGGTGGAACGCCTCCTCCGAGCGGGCGGGTCATTGCAGAATTCGACACTGACCTTCCACCAATTCAGCTGACAACATTGACCTCCGACCCGGAGTTAGGTGCTGCACCTTCTACGGGGCGGAGTTCTAGTCAGTCTGTAACTACTCTGGTTAAACCGGGTTTTTCTGATTCTGTGTGGGCACCTCCATCATTCTTGGGAATAAAGTATTCTTGGCTTCAGTTTTCAGGACAGACCATGTTCCTAAAGCTAGCGACATGTCTGTATCTGATTCTAAACATGGCTAGGTTTGCTTTGACACCCGTGACACAACCATTCTTGGATCACTCCTTTTCAGAACCTCAAAGTCCAACACCTCCAGGTCTTTGGACATCTGAACACCTACTCTTTCAGCACGATCCAGGTGACAATGTGCATCTTCTTGGTAATAGGGCTTTTAAGAGCTTAAGAACTGTCCTTTGTTATGCTTCTCCTGTCTCACAGACACGGCATAAGTTTGAGAAACAAAAGGGGGGTGGGGAGCCTCCTCCTGCTTTGCGAGCATCATTTTCGCATTTCCAGTTCACTACTATTTCTGATCACAACAAAGTCGCCTCCGTAAAGCTGCAACCCAACTTTGAGCAGGTAAAATCAGGTTCTGATCTAACAGTTATACCATCAGCTTCACTCGAGTTCCGGACGGAACCCTCAGGTAAATTCAAACAAGTTTCCCTGTGGGTTCGTAACACCAGATACAAACGGTTTGATAACCAAATCACTTATGAGCCTGCTCCCACAGATACGTCCAAACTCGTGTCTCTGTGGGTCCGCAATACCAGATTCAAAACTCTATTCTGACCGACTCTATTCTGACCGGATTCTTTTCCACTAACTGGTGGACCGTTACAAATTCTCTCGTTTGTGGGGTGAATTTTTAACAAATGTGATATCCTTTGAATTTTTTTTCAGGTAACCTGCCTCCAGCCAGGACACCTGCTACTAACTCACATTTTTAGGGATTACTAACCTGCTGATTTACATTTTTAGAATTGATTTACATCTCTATCTTTTTATTAGTGCTTTGTGTAGCATGATTATATTTGATTACAAATTTAATTTTATTTTGTTACTATTTCCCTTAAAGGGCCACAAGCCAATTCGCCCTTCATTTTCATGATTATTTCTTTTATATATATGCCTTTACTTAATGCAGCCTGCTGAGTTTCACATATCAGTTAGGATTTACTTTCTTTTATTTGTGTTTTCTCTGCATCACATTTTTACATGACATGTAGAGCAGGGTGCAGAACATTTCTTCTTTAGATAATTCACAAAAGGCATCCACATTTTCCCAGAGGTACCCATAGATAGGTTTTGATTGATTTCTTTGATTTGCATCAAATGCTATCTATCGTGTGGGCTGTCTCACTTTGTCTCCTTCTCCGAGCTCGTATGGACTACATCCCATCAGAGGGGTCGTCTTCACCATCCTTCAACTGGTTTCCTGTCGCTTGGGGCTTCGGTCGTGGTTCGAGATGGGTCGAGGTCTGCGCTGGACTACGCCTGAGGAATGCATCACCTGCCCAGCTCCGTGTGACACACGAGCTGCTTATCCTTTGAATACCTTTGCATTATTGCTGATGAAATTAACTGCTATTGAAATAGCTCTGCTTTCAAGTTTTCCTAAGTGGATTACTTTACAATGATTGCAACAGTTTTGGCCTTAATCATCTGATCAGGATATACTCCCTTCTACACGAGACCTGTGGAGATGCTTCATCGTTCCTGCCTTCATCTGGGATGTCTACCTTCACGAGTACATCACGTTATTGAGGTTGTGACGTCAGGTGGCCTCTGCTTGACCACCATGTCGTCACAAAAAGGGGGGAATGTAACGTGAGGAAATATGGGTTTTTCTGCCACAAAGGTGGTGTTGGACTAAGCTGTGTCAAAGCTGGGTCGCTGAGAACTTTCACCCACAGATTAAGACCTGAACGCCAGCGAGTCTGGGAGGAAACCATAACATCTGCCACCTGCAGCTTCGTGCCAGAAGATGTTGTTCCCACAGAAGATGTTGTTCCCATAAAAGTAGTCATAACATAACAAGTCTTAAAACTTTGTTTCTTGATTTTAATGTTAAAGTAACCATTATCAATTTGCTCATTATAAATGTGTTTTAATCAAATGAACGATTCTTATGCTTTGGGTAATTATAATGGATTAATGAAGCCATTCTTAAATAATGTTGAGGATGTTTGTTGCTGACCTTCACACACACTCAAGCACACAAACATTCACACACACCCACACACATCTGCTCACAGTAAACTCCAAAACACATTTGCTGACGCACACGTTTGCTTTTAGAGGAGAAAGGTTTTTGGTAAGTTTCAGTCTTATGATTTCAGTTCGTGCTTGACAACGAAAGAGAGAGGACGTGTGAACAACCGCTAACGGGGGCACGGAGCCCATTGGCTCAATCCCCCCCCCCCTCTCTCACGCTGTTTCTGCCAAGCCAGGCAGAATAGCTGAATCGCGACTTCTAACGCAGACTCATTACCGAGTCTTTTGATTTCTGAGTGAATTAACTTAAGAAAGCGCATCGACAAAACGCTCTACCATCCACGTGTACCGAGGGCAACTCTGGACCGGTTCCGTTCGACACCTACGTCTCCTGTCAGCCGCCGGTGTCATCTGGATGAACCACAACATCCTCCACGGCCCGGATCCGAAAGAGGGTCCACAAGAGTTCGGTGAGACAGAGCACGGTTTTTAGCGTTTGATGCAGTTCTCTGATAAGACCTAAGTTTATCCAAACCATCACTTCACTCAGACACCTGTTTCTTCCTGAAGCAAAATCAGACTCACACACGCATTCATGTCACGACATTCTCAATCTTCATAAATTCACCAGAAGGTCTATTTGAGCAAGAACAGCATATCAACTGTTAAAGATTGTCCCACAAAGTTGCCAATGTTGATTGTTATTTCCTGTTTGTCAATTTTCAAAATCATTAGTTTAATTTGAAGAATTAAAACTTTTAATTGTCAAACTGGTTTCCTCATTGAACTGAAACACAGACACACAGATATTATCGTCAGTTTATCGATGAAAACAACCTTTGAGTCTTCTTAACAATATAAAATTTGGTTATTGATTTATTAAAAATTAATATTCCGAATTAATACGTAGCATGGTTCCTCTTTCATAAAAGAGCATAAAACCACAACGCTACATTAATGGTGAGCCAAGCCAGTTTCTTCTACACACACATCATTATTTTTCATTTGAACATAAGTACAACATATGTGTGATCCAGAGCATAAGGCAAAATGGATTAGAAAATGGCTCTTTTAGCCAGTTGACTTGCATTCATTTTTCCGTTCTTTCGAGGACCCATGAGCCGACCGGAAAGGGAGGAGACTTAGGCTCCCTTTTCCTATAGTGTAACACCTAAACATTTCATTTGGCAATGTATTCATTCTATTTTGGGAAGACACATTTTTGTATTCAATAAATCAAGCGTTGGCTTCTTGAATTAACAACAGTAATGTGGTTATTTGAAAATATAATAATCTAAAACCTGTAATTCAAGAAAATCACATAAGATATATGTTTAACCTGGTAGGTCTGACCTTCTGTGCTTTCTGTAGTTTGTGTTTTAGTGTGTATTTATTACAAAACACTTCAAAATGGAATTCTGAGTGATTAACAATGTAACAAATATCTTTAGAAATGGATTTGCTAATGAAAAATATAGCCAATATAAATAACTGAATTTATGACTAATTAACACTAAACTTATTTAACAAATGATAGCTGCCCTGGCTTTCTCACTTTTGTAAAATTAAATATTTTACAGCAGGCTTCTATGCTAAGAAATGTAATGCAGTTATTTAAACTATTTCTCACATGATCAAACCACCAGAGTAAAAGGCGTTCATGTCACCAAACTGGTTCAACAGGCTGATGGAAATTTACAGGAAAACTTAGCGTCACACACACTACTGAAAATGAAGGTTAAATAAAGATCATTCCTATTTATCTTGATGCAAAAGATAAAAGCAGTTCTTAAATTTTATTTGATGGGGTTTTATTGTTACTGAAAATAATTTTCATAACTATTTTCATACCTTAAAAAGAGAATCCAGTTGTTTTTTATACTCTTCATCATCAGCAGCAGGAATCTTCCCTCTTGAACCTGTCTGGTTTTCATGAGTGGAAGTGGGATCTTCCCTGGAACATAAAAATCATTACGGTATAAAGCAAATAACGGTTAGATTTTACTTTACTACAAAATATCCCAGATTTGATTTCCTGTCATGTTTAAAATCCAAGCTGAGCAGGTGAGAGATGTTTTTGTTCTGCTTTCAAACAGTACTTTATTTAGATTTTATAAGCCAATGTATCAAAACTTCTGCCATCTATACTTTAGTAAGCTCCAAAAATATGTCCTCTGGAATAAATTAAATCCTTTGCTGTTACAAAAAACACACCATTAGGCTGTGCTCAGACCCAGAAGGGTTACCAGCTGAAGTCCGTGCTGTGTGTTCACCCGGGTGCTGATATTCTATAAAAGTAGGATCAGACTTGTGTCTGTTTAGGTGAATTTAACTGTTTTATAACTAACATACAGTTTGTTCAGCTTCATCTTTAGATACGGTCAAGTCCTGCTTTTAAGAAAGTTATTCCTTTTTATTGTACTGTAATTCACTCTTTACATGGGCATTGATTAGTCTTCAGATGGTTCACATTGCTGTGGCTCAACTTTTAACAGGAACAAGGAAACGTGAGCACATCACACTGGCTTTAGCTTCTGTTATTGTTGGGTTTTAAAGCTAGAGATCTCAGGTCAAACAACCAAGATCAAAACTAAAAAAAGCAAAAGGGAACAAGAACATGCTTTAGTGGTGGCTGCTTCATGCCTATGGAACAGTTTACTGTCCCACATCAAATCTGCCTGGAAGTTTTTAAAGCCTTTTTTAAAACTCACCTTTGCCCCCTGGCTTTAAAGGTGTAGAGCCAGATAATTTCTGTTTTTTTTGGCTTTTATTCTAACCTTGTGATTTTATCTTTTATTATTTTTAAACCTGTCATTGGCTACTTTTGGTCTTATGTCTTTGTCTTTATTCCTGATTGTCTTGTTTTATTGTTATCCTGACCATTGTTGCACAGCACTTTGGTTCAGCCATGTGTGTTGACATTGTTTTTCTTGTGGTGTGTCCAAAGATAATCCCTTTTCAAAAGTGCTGCCTGCCAGGTGCTGCCAGCTTACTGTAAAGGACGCTGAAATGACAGTTTCCAAGAAAGAATGATTATAAATGATAAAAAGAAGCATGTGGTTTTGCAACACATTCTCACACCCGACGCATTGAAAAATGACGCTGGATGACCAAGCGTCTTTTTCGTCGGGAGGCGACGCGCTAGAGTGTCATTTTCCGACTGCTGTGGAAAAACAGAGATTTCACCAAATTCTGACTACCCTCTTGCTATTTAACCATCCCCTTACCCCCATCTTACCCTTAACCCTCTTGCGCATGCAAAACTTTATTTGTAGTTGTAATGTCCATCTCAAACACGGTTAACGAGAAGTTTACAATGACATACAGGGATAAGGTTAGGATTGGGGTGAGGGGAAGGTTAAATAGCAAGAGGTTAGAGGTTTAATGTCAGTGAAATGTACGTTTTACCACGGGCGTCGGAAAATGACATTCTGGCACCGCGTGTCGCCTCCAGACGCGCTGGGGCTCCCAACGTGTCGGAAACAAACATTTGGTCACCCAGCGTCATTTTTGACGCTTCGGGTGTGAGAATGTGTTTTTGTGCCTTTTAAATTGGTCTTTTATCATGGACACATACTAGTCCTAGGACAGGTCTGGGCAGGTCTGCTTATCTTCTTAACATTCAATAGTTTTAACACTGGATTGGACTTTTTTCCATTTTAAAACTGAACTAAAGTGGTTGCTGGCAGAGCCCCACAATTAGTCTCCATTATTTAACTCAAAGGAGTTATCTTTAGCTATCTGGGTGACACTTTACAATAAGGTACACAAAATTGTGCTTCGTTACTAGGGAACGACTTAGGGGGTAATGAGTAATGAAGCAGGAAATAATAGGTAGTTAACCAGTAGTTATTGGTGAAAACGCTCATCAGTCTTGTTTCATGGTCTAATATGTAGTTAGCCAGTACTTACTGGTAAACACCCAGCAGACTTATTCAGAGACTAATAGGCAGTTATATATTTGTGCTTTGTTCCTGAACGACTTAAAGGGTACTGAATAATGAAGCAGGGAAGAACAAGTAGTTTTAGAGTGTTTTTACATGTTGATTTCAAAGTTTATAAATGTAAAAGTAAATTTTTTTGTACTTTTCTGATTATTTCAAAAAGTGCCCTAAACATTGAACATTTTGTTAGTGATTGAATTGAGCCAGGTAAAACTGTAACCTGCAGGATTTTGGTCACCCATCTCTGGAAAATTACCACACACAAGATGAAAGAAATGATGTATAAATAAGCTCAATGTATTTATGGTAAATGACCATGTAACAACATATAAGTAATGGTTAAGTATTGAGCAAGTGCATATTCGTTCCTCAGTAGGTACTTGGGAGGAGGCTTCACTTTAAGGTAGACAAAAGCAGTAGGTAATGGTTAAGTACCTACTAGGTACACATTTGTTCTTCAGTAGGTACTTGGGAGGAGGTTTCACTTTCCATCATCTCGAAATGGACAGATGCCGACGATGGACGACAAAGTGACAGACGAGTGAAATCAAGATCAAAAAGTGATGTTAAATCCTGTGATGTTGCAAATTATCCTCATGCTTCATGAAGTTTACAAAAGAGAGTCCACAGGCACTACATTCATCTGAGATTCGTTCCTTATTGCCTTCATAGATAACCACGTAATAGTCTGAATAAGACTGCTGGGTGTTTACCAGTAAGTATTGGTTAACTACCTATTAAACCCTGAAAAAAGACTGATGAGCATTTTCTCCAGTAACTTACTGGTTAACTACCTATTCTTTCCTGCTTCATTACTCATTACCCCCTAAGTCGTTCCCTAGTAACGAAGCACAATTTTGCGTACCTTATTGTAAAGTGTTACCGATATCTGATCTCACAACCAACTTGTTTTTCAACTAAAACCATCCAAAGTCCAGGCAGGTTTAGAACTGAATTTAAAGCCACAATTTTCCAAACATTTGAGTGTTGTAATTACTTAAATATTTGAGTTATATCTTACATGTCATAATCTGAGTAGCGTCCATGCTTGAAATAAATGGGTGGATTCTTAGATCTTTCAGTCTTCAGGGACAGCAAAGTGGGCCTTCGGGTACCAGGCTCCTGCTCACCTTGCCTTCAAAAATGTAACGGTATGAAATGACTGTTTTCCACCAAAAGTCATTTTCCCCCTCTGACACAGAACTAGTCTGTATGAGATATGGCCTCGAGGTCTCATGCATTTGTTATAAACTGCTTCTTTCCAGCTTAAGAGAAGAATGAAGAATGGACTCTCTCCGTTTAATAAATCAAAGAACTCTATTTTAATAAAGCTAATCAAACAAAGTGTTAGTCAATAAATAAGATGTGACCAATCTGTGAAATAAAAATATTAATTACTTTATTATAATCCTATAGAATATAATGAGTAATATGACTTTAAATGTTTCCACTAGGACTGATCTGATCCAATCAGAATCTGCCAGATCTGACGGAGGCGTGGTTTTGGTGGTGCTTGGTAAATCTGTCAACTTTTCATTCGACCATAAACCAAAACATCTGAAGTATAAAACTATGCCCACGTCATCTTTAACACCAGTTAAAGCTTAGCGTGAAGACATCACCTTCATTTCCCATCAGAACTAATCGCTTCTTCGGATTTGCTGGTTCTGAGCAACATTCCACATCACACCATTCTCTGTCTCATTCACCTTAGTAACACCATACATTTAGTGTTAAAGTTAGTCTAGTTTAATCTGTTTAGTAATAAATCTTTAAACTTTTAAACTTGACTCTCTCTCTTTTGTTTTCTCTGAGTGAATACGAAGCTGTTATCTAATCCCTGCAATAAAAAGTTCCAATCTTCTGGTTAAACAGTACCTACAGATCCATATGGTTGATTTCATATTTCCTATGGAATCCTATGTCTTATGGCTTATTAAATAACATGTAATTTAAAGCATTACAAAAATAAACATTCAATAAGTTTTAGGTTATTAAATAAATCTGAAAACATGTTACAGTTAGAAAACTAATTCTTCAGCAGTTCAACAATCATTGGCTGATGAACGGATTCTCCATTGTTATTGTTAAAATACAGATCTCTCTCTAAGTAATTAAAACAAGCAACTGGTCCTACTGAGTTGTGAACAAAATGTAAACAATCAGAAGTCATATCAGGTTATGAACTGAATTTAAAATCTGGTCTCAATGTGAAACATTTCAGTCTCATGATAACAAATATTTGGGTGAAATCTTACATGTCGTTATCTGAGTAGCTTCCATGCTTGAAACTGATTGGTGGATTCTTAGATCTCAGGGACAGCAAAGTGGGCCTTCGTGTACCTGGCTCCTGACCACCTTGCCTTTAACACATTTTAGGTTAAGGAATAAATTAGAAAACATGTTATTGGATTGTTAATTGGGAAACTTTATCAGTTTAATAAACTTAAGCTTTAAATTCAATTGCTTGTTTGCTGAAGTTAAGAAACAGACTTTTTGATTTCTCTGTAATCAAAACAACACACTGCTCTTGGCTTCATCCACTTGTTTTCAACATAAACAATCAAAAGTAAATAACAATATGTTGAATTCTTGTTACAAAAATGTATGTTCTATTATCACAAATTGGGTTAAATCTTACCAATGGTCATCTGAGAAGCCTCCCCCCTTGAATCCACTTGGCAGAGTCAGTGAACGTTCAGTCCTTACACCCGTGGGCCCATGGGTACCTGCCTCCTGCCCACCTTGCCTTCATCATAAACAGTCAACAGATTTCAGGTTCAGAAATGAATTTGAAAACATGTTACAGTTGGAAAGCTTTCAGTCTGCAGTTTAGCAAATATTAGCTTTTGCATTCTCACGTTTGTTGGTGCACGGATTCCCCGTTGCTGATGTTAAAATACAGACTTTTTGTTTTCTCTCTGAGCAGTGTCAAACATCTTGGTGGAGTTTGATTCTCCAAATGGCTAAAACACAAGATAAAAATCAACAAGTAATTGAATCAATATTTTAAGTTCAGTCCATTTATGATCCAACAAGGAATTCGTTTTTAAAGTCTTACGGTTTATAAACAATCTGGTCTTCTCTAAAACCAGCTGGTGACCTCATGGACACGCCATCTGGTTCAGGTGGAGCTGATGTCTTCCTCATCATTGCTTCTTAGTAATAAATTATAAACAAAGTTGAAAACAGAGGGAAACTAAGCTGAGAAGCACTCAGTAACAGTTTGTATTTGTGTTTCTCTTGTTCTGATGCGTTAACAGAGTGAGAGGTGAAACATGTCTCCTGTTTACTCATGGCAAGTCATAATCTGTAAAACAGTTTTATAAAGACACCATGAACTGGACAGCCCCATTAAAAGCAGCATGTTGTTTACAATAAACACCGCCATTACAAACAATATTTAGCTCTGGGTTCCTACCTGCAAAGGTTTAATCCAGATCACAAAATGAAAGAATCCTCAGTGTTCCGATAAGTCTGCGTGTGTTTGTCTACCCGTCTTGTCTGACTGGTTATAATGAGCCAAAACATCTCTTATTATGTGTGTCTTCTTCCTTGTGTGTAATAACAGCTGCACACTGCCACCTATCAAAGATCTAGTCTATCATCACTGTGATGGCCACATCCATTATATTTCTTTGAATTTATTGTTTAGATGATTTAAATGCATTAGTTCCAATTGTAAGTGCGCACATTTAGTTAACTGCTGTATTTTATGCCTGCCATTTGTTCTATTTAAGTTAATTTATGTTTTCTCTTTCCGGTGTTGAGAGGTTCTCTACTTCCTGCTTTCTGAGATGGGAGAGGCAAACAGTGTTGAAGGGGTTCTGTCAGCTAAATACAGGAGGAGCTGATGGGGCCAAACCAATAGCTCCTGGAAGAGGGGACTGAAGGATTTTCTTTAGTTTATTATTTTGTCATTTGTTAATTAATTTAAGTTTGAAGGGAAATAGTTAGGTTTATGGGTTAGGGTGTTTATGTTTATTAACAATCTGACTGTACTGATTTGTGTGTTTAGTTTTAGTTAATAAAAGTTTGTCTAGTAATCCTTATTGTTCATATGGTCTGATCAGCCAGTGTGTATATATAGAGCTCCGGGAGTTGACGTCACTTCTCCCAGCGTGCAACAGTTCAAATTGAAACGGCGCCATCTTGGCAGGTAGAAGCTCGCAGCTGGGCTATTTGTTATTGTCAGAAAACTCAATCAAACGGGAAATATGGTAGATTCCTGTTGTGCCCCAGGATGCCAGAACAGACGCGGACGACATAAGAAATGAGCCATCTACAGAATTCCCCAAGATCCGGAATGCCGCAAACGTTGGATCATTGTAATAAAACACACTAGTGGCCGGGCTAAAATGAAACTGTGGGATCCCGAGAGTAAAGGTTTTCGCGTATGCAGCGACCACTTCTTATCAGGTACTTAAACCAACGTTTCCTCAACTGTATATGGTATTTATTTTAAATGCTTTCATTACAATTCTTAGTGGGCTTCCTAAACTTATTTTGGCATGGCTTTTCTTTCTTAATACTCACAGCAACAAGTAAACATCATGTAAAATGTAGCCTTGTGATGTTTTTTTTTTACCTCTTTTATGAGCTTGAGCTATTTTTGTGACGATATTTTAAAAACAAAGAAAATTAAAGAGCCTCAATTTTTGGAGATTCCCTGTGTACCTCCACTTATTTGACTTGGTCCCTCACAATCACACATTTTAGATCCTCCTGAGTTTATGCTGCAGCACTAATCACTGACTTAAAGGGATATTCCACCCCTAAGTGAAATGTCTATTTCCGCATTCCCTAGAGTTAAGTAAGTGAGAATAAAGCATTTTGTAATTCTCCTGGTCTGGCAGCAGTCCGTCAGCTTTAGCTTAGCATCAACAATGGCAGTGAATAGCAGAAACTAGCATATTTTGTGCTAAAGTGATTAAAATTACTCAATGATACTAAATACTCCTGGTGAGCTCAATAATCATGTTGACTGCAAATGAAAAGTAAGAAGTAACCCGATGCTGCATGGCGCCTGGATAAAACAGCGGTCCACAGGGCATCTACGTATATAAGTTTGTGACAACACTGGTCATCGAGGAACTCGGGGCACGAACCCCCAAACTGGAGGAGTGGCTAAAGCAGGTCCCAGGAAAAACTTCAGACATCTGAGTCCAGAAAAGTGCAGTTCTAGGAACAGCTGAGATACTGCGCTCTCCAAGCTTCCAGGCCTCTGGTAGAGGATGTGAGCACCTGTGGAGGGTGAGATGAGAATATATATATATATATATATATATATATATATATATATATATATATATATATATATTACTGTATATATTTGCATCACCAATACTTAAGTTTCTGTAGATCAGGGATCATAAATAAAATGTGCAAAAGGGCAAAATTATTCTAATCTGAAAGTGCAATAACAAATCTTTAATAAGTCATACTTTAGGAATAATCCCTTTTATGGGCTAACAATATGCTGCTGCAGTCTTATTTGATATGCTTTATTATTCCAAGTTCATATAGAGATCTGCATTTTTTGTGTGTGTGTGTGTGTGTGTGTGTGTGTGTGTGTGTGTGTGTGTGTGTGTGTGTGTGTGTGTGTGTGTGTGTGTGTGTGTGTGTGTGTGTGTGTGTGTGTGTGTGTGTGTGTGTGTGTGTGTTCTCACTGCTTCTAAATGCAGGTGTTTGGGTGCGTGGCCAGCTGCTGCTGATCTGTCACCAACTGGCCAGGGAATACAAGCTGCAGGGAGACACTTTCACTTTGCTGGATAATTACTCACTCTGGGTACAACTCATGCTGATAAGCTCTTGTTAAAAATCCTCTGGGGTTCTTTCTAGATCTTTGTGCCTCCTGTGGATATTTGAAATTTTCCACCCAGCTCCATACCTGGCTCTGACTCCTAGGCCCTCATTTATCAACCGTACTTACGGACAGATCTGTGCGTATTACCAGACTAAATGACAGCACAGAAGAGGCTGAGGCTGCACTCTCAGACAATTTCAACCAACTCCCAACAGAACGACTCCTTAAATGTAAATGTAAATGGTAACCTGTTACTCTGCATATTATCAAATCAAATTTTTTTTATTTCTGACAGGAACCTCTCTTCTTCCCCGACCACGTTTTATAACCTCTGCAACTTGTTTGGTTTATTTTTTTTCTCTGGCAGCCAATGTTTCAATCTTGTTGTTTTTTGTTTTATTTTTCTGGGGGGGGGGGGGATCCCCTCACATACTGAGGATGTAGCGTGACTAAATATGGTTAATGTTATGTTCTGTGTTCCTGTGAGCCCCAGCCCCCTCCGGGTTTCCCCTCATCTTCCCCCTAGTCACTCACTTCTTATTTAGTTTACCCATTTTCAGGAGTGTTAAGATCCCCTGCATTAGATCTCCTCTTCCTTTGGTTCTTGTCTCTTTAGTTCATACCTTAGAGTCCGAGCGTCTCTAGTTTCAGGTTTATCAGTTCACCTTGCTTTACTTTTCTGTATGTTTAGATTATCTAGGCTGGTATTGCATTTTCCTTCCCCATTTAGGTCTGGTTTCCTCTCCAGCCCCGTTCTGCTCCTCCTCTCGATCATTAGTTGCTCCTGTGCCTTGTTCCCTTAATCACCAGCCCATGTGTATATAACCCTATCATGTCTCTCAGTGTTTGTTGGTGTCGTTTGTCAGCGTTTTGCCTCATGTGCTCCAGAGTTTTTTGTCACTCCTCCTAAAATAAAGGATTCTTATTTTTGCAACCGCTCCTACCTGTGTCGTTCTGAGTTTTTGCTTTTTGGGTCTAAACCTCCTAACCTCAACGTGACAGTTAATTGATGATGTTGTATGTAAATGACAGTGAACTGATACGAGCACCTGGGTACTCACAGGTGGGATTTATCATCAGACGATTGCAGAGGAACGTGCGTATGAGAGGCCGCCACATGTTTCGTACACACATTCTAAATTTTGGTCGTAGCAGGTTAATTTAGAACAGTTTCTACAAGCGTTTGCTAGATGAGGGCCCTGGTCTCACCACCCGCTCTCAGCCAATGGATTTCACCAGATCTTCACATCTGAAGCGTGGCAGAGTCTCTGTGGTGTTTATTTAATCTGTCAGCTGGGATTCGTCCAAAATAATAAACATCAAGATTAATAAGTCAGAACAACGCCATTTTGAGTTCAGTATTCAGCCAGCTCTCAAGATCATCTGATGTTCATCATTGCTAAGTGGAGTACGGGCCGGCCATCTGTACTTTTGACTTTTAAGCTGAGAACTGCCAAGCTGGGAAAATTCTGTCGTTATCAACAAAACAACGGTTCCTTCAGAATAAAAGCTGAACTCGCTGACCCAAAGGGGGGTCCCTTTGACGCTGTGAAACACCTGCCATTTTTACCTGGAGCCTACCCAAAGACTGGTTTGTCGTGCTGAGGACGCTGCTTCGTCGGCTCCAGTACCTTTGGAAGGTCGCGGACCTGGCAGCCTGATCTGTACGGGAGTCTCCCTGATGGGTAAAGTAGAACAGCACAGATAGCATCTCATGTCTTTTCTGACCACGGTTCAAACGTCGATCAGTTAGGAGCAAAACAACATCTCAGACTCGCTTTTCCAGAACGGAGGTTCTGAACTGATATCGCACCAACACACACTCCACCTCACATTCATTACATCAGCATCCATCACTAGTTAGAGTTAGTCCTGTTAATTGTTTAAAATAATTTAGATAATAAATTTTTCTTAAACGTTCCAAGGTCTCACTCTCTTCTCTTGTCTCTCAGTGCAAAGTGTTTATTTTAAGTTTCCCTGTAATAAAAAGGACCACTCTTCTGATTTTAAAAGCCCAGGTCCAGAGATGGGGTCCATGCCAGCTATGGATCATTAATATCTCTGGTCATTAATTAAATAATTAAATTGTAATACTCTTCATTTCCATTACAATAACGGTCGAGCCTTAGCCAAATATTTATACATTTTTAAAACACTTTGTGTCAAGTTTGAGACATATTTGAACTCTTTAAACCATCTAAAACAAATTAAAACAAAAAAGTGATGTCCTAGTTTGAAACGAGGTGATCTCAAATTCAGCCGCTAGAGCAGCATCTCCTTTAAAGTAAACGGGGGGTTGACGTCAGTCACCCTCCACAGGAGGCGCTGTTTCATCTCAAACCACCCTAAGGCTGACGTGGCATGTAGAAGCCATTTTAGGCCTTGCACTGAAGGAAGTTTTCCCTGTCTTGTAAGTTGAATACTGTTTCTTTTCATATTCTTTCTCTAGTGTACGTGGCACTGTGTACAATTTATTGTGTAACAGGAGATAGAAATATCCCTGCCGGAAGTTCGCTTCCCTCGGTAGCTGTCCTGATCCCCGACTACCAAACCCCGTTCGAGCTTACTAGCATTAAACCGCTACTAGCATTAAACCGCTAATAACTAAAGTTTGACACGGAAGAGCGTCTCTGCATAACATGAAGTGCAAACGCTAAAGTCCGAAGAACGAAACGCCCACGAACGTTCAGTGCTCGGGCTTTAAATCCTGGTCGCTCCAAGCCGGCGCTAGCTTAGCAACGGTGCTAACTAGTAGCTTTCCGGTAAGACAGCGGTATACGCATGCCGACAACCTGTCAAGCCATTTCGACGCAGCGTTTCTGCATTCCAAAATCCGCTACGCCTAACCCCGGCTTTCCACAGGAGCCGTCAGCAGCACGTTACTGCAGCAGCACGTCATAGCTGCTGATAGGAACCGCTGTGGTCAACAGAACCTTGTCCACTGGAGCCGTCAGCAGCCGTCAGCAGCGCGAGTCGGCCGCGTCTCAGGAGCAGCATGTCGCGGCCTTTACGCGCCGGTTCTATTTTCTACGTGCGACGCCTCTGAAACGGGTCAAGTTCGACATTTTTGGGGAAGGAAAGACAGGAAATCGGACGCGGAAATGGAGAGAAGCTCCCGAGATTTTCAGAATAAAGAACGTACTGCCTTCCGGTTGCTTTACTTTTAAAAAAGGTTACTAACTGTGCGGTCCCGTGAGAAGTTATCACCTAGCTAGCGGTCTCCTTTGTTTTTCAGGTCCGTATTGGCGATTATAAAACAGACAGAACATAAAACACAAACCATGTTGTAGTTTTCTCCTGCTTGTTGTTGTGTTTACTGACGATGTCACTCGTGTGACTTCGTGCTCGGTCGGTGACAGCTGCTCCCCTGCTGCTTCGCGTCTCGTGGGTAGGGCCAAGCAGCAGCTTACGCGAGCAAGACGTGCTGCTGCACTAACGTGCTGCTGACGGCTCCGGTGGAAAGAAGGGGTAAGAGTAAAACGCCAAATTCGTTTGTGCAGTTTTAGCAGTGTTTTATTCACTCTTGGTGATTAAAGCTTTGCGGTGACATCATCGGCCACCGCCATTTTGGGTAACCAGACAACATACAGTGACGTCAACACCCCGCCCGCACCCACCAACGGTGCTCTGCCGCCATCTAGCGGAGTTTTCTGTTCATTACATTCATTTTGATATAAAAGTCATTTTTATTTTAAAAAAATGTCTGAAGACGAGGTATTAACCCTTAACTCACTGGGAAGACAGGTGATTGATGCAGTGGAGTCTGTGGTAGGACAGACAGGCTTGTCTGAGCACGGCTACGCTGAAGGTTTGCAGGAACACCAAGCTGATGATCTGATGAAACTATCACAAACTAACATTAGAAATCTCCCCACCTCAAGTAAACCTCTTAGATCAGCTGCCCGCACAGAGTCCCTGGAGAAGTTCGCAGTGTTGCTAGTTCATCTCTGGGACAGAGAGGTAACTGCTCATATGGAGACACAAGGTAAGATGTGTGCTTTTCTTGAACAGCAAAAAGGTGAAACAAGTGGTTCTGATGCTGAGAAGAAGCTGAGCGAGGCTCAACAACAACTAACCGAAGTCCAAGACCAGCTATCAGCAGCTCTGGCAGAGACTAATAAAGTGTTAGATGGAAAGATTCAGCTGGTAGACAAAATTACCAACTTGGAAATGGAGAACTTAGAATTAAAACAAGAGGCAAATTTGCTTAGAGCTAAGATAGCAAACCAACAAACGGAACTGGAGTTTGTACAAAGTTGTCTGAACTCACAAGACCAAAACAGGAACCACACCAGCGATCTCCTTCACCATCTTCTCCTCCTCCTCCTCCTCCGGCTGTTGCAGTGACTGCTTCACCTCCGGCTGTGAGTGCGGATGGGAGAGGTGCAGTGGCTACAGCAGGAAGAAAACATTTCACACCACCTCCTCCTCC